CATCTCCTGCCAGCTCAGCGGAAGAGACGTAACCTCAGGTACAGGGTGACACGAAGAAACGCACACGTTTCACCAGGAGGTCATCTGAGGATCAGCGCTGCTAATTTCTTCTCACCTCGGTGGAAGTTGTGAGTGACTGTTGGTGTGACTCAGCTGACTGACACTTGGGACTCTGTGGTGAGATCTGTAACCACGCAGGTTCAATCCCAGCACACAGGAAACACATGACGGGAGATGTTCTCCTCCAGCTCGTGCAGTCAGTCATGATGGAGGTCAGACTCAGAGGTCAGGTTCAAACAGGACCTCTGAGGTGAGACTGAATATGTAATGATAATTCATATTAAATGGGAAACTGTCCCTGTGTGATCCCCAGAAACTGCCGGCTCCACATCTGCAAGGATACATTTCACTTGATTTGATTAATTAATTATTTTTATGCAAATATACTAATCATATTTATCTTGTTTATATATAATTTAAGTGAAAAGATGTAATTAAGGCCTCTGCAGGAAGCTGATCTTTTTATGCAGTTTTTATTTTTATTTCATGAAGTTAAAAAAAATACTCTAAATGTTGCATATGGAAAAGTTTGGCCACCTCAACAAGTCTTTTCCTAATAACCCCAAACTTTAACACACAACTATAAATTGTGTTTAATCACAGAAACAGACAAACTGCAAACACACACAACCTGCTGAGACCATCTGAGTCTCTGGGCATCTAAATATAGTAACTGCACTTCACTTGATGGGGGTTGTATAGGTGACATGGTAGCTGCAGTTCAAAATAAAGAGTAGGGTGTGTGTTTGTGGGGTGTATACTGACGATGGCCCCATCATATTAATGTGTATATGCTTAAAACAGGCGTATACATAATAAAGATATTAAGCTCTCATCACTATCATCTGTAGTTTATCAATGGTTAATTGATCATCTGTCATGATGAATAATTCATAGATATTAATAATCATCTCAACCTGCCAACCCAACTGCTTTTTATCAATGACCTATGACTTTTAAGTGATTTTAATATCACCTCATAAACACTGTATAAATGCCTCGGGACATTTCCCATTAGCCTGCTTGTAAAATATCTGGAAAATGTCCGACTGCGTTCGTCATACATGAAAGGCAAGCACCAGGAAAGTTTCCGGACATATGAGTTTGTGTAGAATCTTTTTTATGATAGTGTTCCCTCACAGTACATTCTCTGTATTTTACAGACTTCAACATTTCAATCCTCCTCATCAGATTTCAACTTTTTCGACTCATGTGGCCGTGGTGTGGATCAGTGTTTTAAAAAAGCCTAAGTCTGTGCTCTGCAGTTGAGTTTTTCTCGCTCAGGAGACAGTGAGGGGCAGTTTCTGATTAAAGCCTGTGACACATTGATCCTCTAACAGCCCCAGGAGGCCAATCTCCATCCTAACCACTTCAGATGCTTTCACAGGAAATCAACTCAAAAGCATCTCTCTCTTTCCCCTCCTCTCTTTAAACTACCCCCGCCTCACCCCTCTGAAGTCTAAATTTGGTCTACGTTTGAACTCCTGATCGATGACACCCGGCCAGGAGGCCATGTTGTTTGTGTGCTCTCTCTTATGGTTTCCTGCTCTGCTGTCAGATTTTACTGTACATCTGCACAGAGGAAGAGATTTCAACTTTGAGGGCTGGAAATTGTGACCATTTGTGGTGAGATTGGAGGAATTAGGGAAGAAGGATTTGATGATTTGATGTTTGGACAGATGGATTCAATTATGAGGGACTAAAACAAATGGTGATGTGGGAGAGACAGTGACAGTTCTGTGGATGAGCAGGAGGTTGAAGTAGCCCCTGCCCCCTCGAGGTTCTCGTTGATTCATCCTTCCGGCAGGAAGTGTTTGAGGATCAATAAGAAGCGAGGGTCTCTGGAGGGACGGAGAAAGAGCCCAGGTCTCTTTTTGTTTCATTAAGCTGCTCCTCGTTCTATTCTGCCTCTGAATCCAGAATAATGAGCTAAAAGATTTCTGTCGTCATCGTTACAGATAATAAAAGTGACGACAGTGACTCCACCACAAACACCTTTTGACGAAGGTGGAAATGATCTCAATCTATGATCTTAGTTTTAAATGTTGTATCAGACGTGTATTGTTTTAAAACCAGATTTTAGATCAAATGGGTTAATATATCAACACAGGCTCATGTTCATTTCAGAAAATCCTTTCATTAAGAAATATGAGTCAAAAAAAATTGAGTTGCATGAATCAGATACAAATACAAACATTTACTTCATATACAGTGGAAAACAAGGGAGTGAAAACTGAACCTTTCAGAGAAAAAGAGAAATAAACTATACCCTACATATCATTATAAATACTATTGAGGAATAACAAAACTGGAGATGTGAACTAACTTTCCAATCACAAAACCAAAAATATCAAAATTGAATGAGTTCTATCTTGACCCATGTTCCATCCTTCCATAAATGTTCGGAGAATCGGACAATAGTTTTTGTCCAATCCTGCAGACTAACAAACAATCCAACCAATAAAAACATAAAGAATAAATAAGATAATAAAATGATAGAATGATTATTCTATTCATAGTTCTTTCATCTCTCTGAATCAGCCGTAAGGATGGTAATGCAAACAAGGAATTTGACTGTGGTTTATTGCAGCTCTTTGGCTGAGATACAATTGAAAATAAATGATCCATACATGAATAAAAACAGGATAAAATTAACAACAATACAATTCAATATGTATTTTAGTCATGCAAGAGAAGGTTATGTTGTAGGTATACACACTGATGTGCAGTTCATACAGACTGCTTGGATTGGATAGAGAAATATTTGATTTGATTCAAACTGAACAAAACTGGCAACATTTCTATCATATTATCTGCTGCTGAGCGTGAATCACATGGATCATAGCTGCTGAGAGAAGAGTGTGTCAGTCAGGATGTGTGTGTGGCAGCTCTGAGCAGGAACAGGTGAAGAGCTTCCGGTTAAAGAGGAAACACTCAGATCATATGGTGACCTTCTTCTCGTCCTCTCCCACCACCACCACCTGTCTGCAGCCTGACCGGGTTATTATTGTAGCCCTTAAACCCACCGTGAAGCCACCGCACTGTCAATCCTCTCAGTGAGGATTATAGTGAAGGTGTGCCATGCTCTGTCTCCCACTGAGCGGTAAACATCAGTGAACCACGTGAAAAGTCTCATTGGCCCAAACAACAACAACATGTATGGAACGGTGTCAGCTTGAGCTCTATTACAGCAGTGGGATCTGTTTAACTGAGTATCCTTATCAAGTTAAGTCATGTTTATTCATAAAGCACATTTAAAACAACCACATGCACAATAACAAAAGGAAAGATAAATACAAGATCAAAATACAATCAAAAATATAAGGCCAACAAACCAAAGAATTAAAATGAAGCTGTTAATAAACATAATAATAACAACTGTAATAATTATCATAACCACTGCCCCAACCATCATCTTAATAACTGTAAAATCAGAAACTATAAGTTTAACATAATTATAAATGTAAGTGGGTTAGTAATAACAAATTCTATGTAAACACAAGGCTGGAAACATCTGAATCAAATTTAAAATGATTGAACAACAGAAACTTAACTGTGATAAAACAGCTCTTACATAAACATTTCTTATTAACTGTATTGTTCTCTCTACATTTCTAAGCTTTTAAGTCAGTATATAGTGACAGTTTATATATACAAGTTAATAATTAGTATAATAATTATAAATGTCAATTTGTAAGTTTGAATGGATTTTGGTCCAGATGTTCTCTGGTCAGTTTCAGATGGTCATTCAGTTCATTCTCCCCATTGAAAATGTAATGCCAGATGATTTGCCACAACCTGGCAACCTAAATGTTCTTCCTATTCATGGTTTCTAACTGATCTGTAAAAGTATTTATTGAGAAAGGCTAAACTCCTCTTTTAAATGTTGCCTTGTCAGAAAGTGTTTTGTCGGGTTCATCGTGCACATTATTCACCTTCTTTCGTTCATGGTCACTATCTCATGTTGTTTTTTTCTTCAAAGCAGCGCTGATGAAAGAGCAAGGGGTTTTTGCATTTCGCCACGACGTCATGGTTACGTCATATCTTCATTGCTCAGGACAGTTCAGTGTTAAAGCAAAAATGTGTTTTTAAAATAGAAATACCACCTCATGTAGGTCCAAGCTTTGAGGGAATGGTCCAGCTGCTCTGATCCCAAAACTTTCACTGGACAGTTACTCTCTCTCTCTCTCTCTCTGTGTGTGTGTGTGTGTGTGTGTGTGTGTGTGTGTGTGTGTGTGTGTGTGTGTGTGTGTGTGTGCTATGAAAGTGGGCTGAATGCCCCCTTTTTTCATTCATTCATTAACACTCACACACACACTGGGCCTCTTGTATTGTGTCAGTGGGGAGTTATGGGCGTGGCTCCTTTAAGGACAGTCATGGTGGCTGTTAAATAGATCAGTGACACACACACACACACACACACACACACACACACACACACACACACACACACACACACAGTAAGGGAAGCTGGGGTCAATCCAGCCTGAAACTCACATGTCTGTGTGTGAGTCTGCCTTCAAAATAAAAGCCCTTAAAGTGCACAACTTTAGTTAATTTTCCAGTAGTTGCAAATTTATTTTAAAGAAATTTTCCACTAGCAGATTAACAGAATTATCTGATAAATATTGAAAAAACGCATGGGACAGCAAAACCTTTGAAACTCGTATTTGTTATTGTCAGGAAACCTTTAAAGAAAAAAAAGGTAAATTACCAACAAGTACTACAAACTGAAAAAGTTATCAGAGTAACACTGAACACTGAGTCCACTGAACAAAAAACATTTGTGGCCCCTGTGTCACTCGCTGTGCTGAATACACTTCACTCTGGGGCCCAAAACCAGAAGGGAACCAAGCTGCTCGCCACATTGGAGCTTTATTCTGAAGGTTGATGCCGGATGTCTCGTGTTTCCTGAGTGTGACTTGTTAATGATCAGAGAACACAGAGCAGGAGGCAGAACAGCAGAACAGTGCGTCGAGCAGAGAGATGGAGGCAGAGCTGCTCCCATAAACCAGAGAGGAGGAGGAGGAGGACGCGTCAGATGAAGAAGAAGGAGCTGCATGATGAGTGATCCTGGGGAGTGAACATCCTCTCAGCAGAGCCACACACACACACACACACACACCAGCGCCATGGAGCCAGTCCTGCATTGAGGTGAGAGCTGCTGCAGCGTGTTGTCTCTTATTCGCTGCGCCCTGGACCGGACTGACTCTGGATCAGGTGTGTTTTGCAGATGCTTTTAACGCGCTGATGATGTGAGCAGAGACGCGTCATCATCGTGGTTTGTGGAGGAAAACAACAACAAACCTCCAGGTGCTGAGGGGGAGAGGAGGCTGCCGGTGCACGCGCCTCATCCTCTCACTCAGCCTCTGCGTAAAGATCGTCTTTCACTGGTGCTAGAGAACAAGTGCAGCTGATGGTGGCCGTGCGGTCTTAGGTGTTTGGCCGTGGAGGAGGCCACCTGGGGGTGGGGGGCTCGTTATGGAGGACGGGTGTAAAGGGGCTTTTCTGATAATCCATTTAATAGCCTTGAGGGAGTAAAGTCTGGTCAGTGTCAGGGTGGCTCAGGGCCCGGATGTGATGGGATGGGACGTGCAGGCCCGCTCCAACTGACCCAAAACCAGTGTGCCCACTCGTGACCGCGCACGCAGACTCCCATTCATCGCCTCCTCCCTGGACCAGCATCTGTCAGCAGCCATTCAGCAGAAGGCTGCTGCTGCTGCTGATTCTCATTCATGAAGTCCAGTACGCAGCCTGCACAACGATCCACTGCTGGCTTTAAATAGGCTCACTGGGCCTCCAACAGGCCTGCTCTAGGCCTGTTATTGACTTTCTCTCATTTGTCTTTTTATAGGCTACACATTGGTTTGTCTTAGTCTATTTTTACAAAGATGCAGAAATTCTGTCTCTTAAAGTTCCGTTTCTCAGACTCGATCTCAGCTCATAATGTCAAGTGATGATCCACTAGAAGCACAGGGGGTTGGACAGAATAACAAGACAACCCTACAGCATAGTGTCATCAAAAAAATGAGCTCTAAAGACGTAACATCACTGTAATATTCTGATAATACTCCCATGAAGCTAGACTGGGTTTAGTGTCGTTCTGTCATATTCTAATAGAACAGTTGTTTTGTTGTGATGTTTCTGCAGCGTTTCTTTTCAAGTCAAATCGTGCAAAGAGTCACTAAAAGTTCAGGTTCTCTGAGTTGACCTGAGCTCATGTGCCAAGTGATGCTACACTAGAGAGGCTACTTGCACAGGGAGAATAACAACAACACCCTACAGTGTCATGTAATCCAATAGGTTGCTGCAAAATGTGTTGTATAGTCAGTTAGAACCGAAAACACCCCTTAAATGAGAGGTGAGTTGTTCAAAGTAACTCCTGATGTGTTATATAGACGCTCACATCACTGTAACGATCTGATAAAACTCCCATGAGGCTCCCTGACGCTATGTTGTGATTTAATTTTGACGTAATCAAAGGAAATGGCTTATTATCTTCTAAAGCTTATGTTTTATAATACTCTTAATCAGATGTTGTTTTGTTGTAATAGTTAAGCCGCATCCCTCTTGAATCCTAAATCCCACTCTGAAAGTTAAGCTTTTCAGCCGGTGTGTAGATATCCACAGCAGGGAGTGGACAGAATAACAAGAACCCCCACCACAAAGTGACATATCATTCACTACAGGTCTTTACATCACTGCTATCCTCTGATAAAGCTGCTCTGAGGCCACATCAAATCTCTTGCACTGTGATTTTTTATTTGTAATTAAAGGCAGGAGCTTATTTTATGCTATTTATTTCCTGTATTCTTTATCCAAGTTGTTGACTAATGCACTAGCAATAGAGCACTGTATGTTTTGTATGGAGTGGACAGAGTAACACAAACACCCTGAAGACCGATAGTACTCCTGCAGATCATGTTATTCTTTGATAATATGTGCTGATGCTTATTCCTTAGTTATGCAGTAGTTTGATCATAGCAACCGGCCTTAGTAATACTACGTAAGACTCACAATTTCCAGCAGTACCACTGATTAGTAATTTCTATACTCGACCATACGATTTAATAACAAGTTAACAAAGTAAGATGTTTAATCTTTAATTAAAAAAAACCTATTCTGACAAGGGATGATCAATGTTTAGACTGAACATCTTTTACATTCTATTATTCGACATCAGTTTCACTTTGTGATGCTGAATTAAAACGTCATCAGGTCCAGTGGGCAACACACACACACACACACACACACA